CCTAGCCCATCCCTAACATGCTTAAAATTCTCCACAGCAATTGTGTTAACAAAATACCTAGTAGAGCTTCTTTCTCAGAGTAGTTTGAAGCAACATGAAGAGGCCTTGGGCATGCAGAAACTAGGGCATTTTTAGGAATCGATACTTCTATAAGCTTAGAGATAGTGTGCTTTACAGCTTGTGTCTGCCTAAAGTCTCGAGAGCCAAGAGCTAGACCAGCCCTCTAGTTGTTTGTTAGTTGTTATGGAATCACTTCTTTCCCTTCCTCCAAAGCATTGTGGCACTCCTGAAGACAGATTTGCCAGCTGTCCTGGATTCAAATTTCACTACCACTTTCAAATTTCTAATGTAAAAGCCTTTAGAATTTGTGTGCAACTACATTTGTGACATTCTTAGACTCAGCATAAACTATATCAACAGAACAGTTGGCAAGAGGTTTTACTTGCAGATAATGAAAAGAAAGGCTATGTACCCTTCCTCATTCCTGTTCATAGTCACTCACCCTCTTACAGTTGCTTATCTGCAAGTTCAGGGGGCTAAAGAGACAGAAAGACTGTAAGGTTTTTTTAATTTTCAGACAAGCAACTAACTACCTCTGAAAAATGTTGTAGTACACAAAAGGATTTAATGCACAAGTAGGAATTTTACAAGTTCCTCAACATAACCTCCACTGAAAATATAAATACAATCTCTGTCTCCTAGGATTATCCTGCAGGTAAAGTGTTTTTGTTTGTTTGTTTGTTTTACAATAGACTCTCCTCAGGCAAATTTGTATGCAATATTCAGAGTTTAAACAGTTTCTTCTCTTGCCCATTTTTAGCTCCTGAACTGATTTTTACTCTCCTTCTACTTGTTTCCAAAGTTGTTTTCTGATCTCACTCCTTCTGGCAGACTTTCCTGCCACTGTTTTTATCTTCCACATGTCTGTTTATTAAAAGGTTATTTTCAAGATGTGACCTATTAAAGATATATAAAGAAGGAGGAGAAAACATGAAGAAGCAAACTTGGAAAACATAAATGCATGTGCATTTAATCTTAAATCAGAACTATAGTATGCAAGTACATTGATTAAAAATATTACATGCTTTATCAACACAGTTACTGTAGGAAATGCCCTAGCCTATAACTATATATGTGTGTGTATATATATACAGACACGTATGTATTTGGTTGGGGGGGGGGGTTTGGTGTGGTGGTGGTGTTTTTTTTTCGGTTTGGTTTGGTTTGGTTTTTTTGTTGGGTTTTTTTGGTGTTGTTTGTTTGGGTTTTTTTGGTATTGCTTGTTTTATCTGGAGAACTGAGGTACCAGGAAGTGGACACTTCAAGTCCACTTGGAGGGTTCTCAGCTGTACCTCTTGTACCTTCTTCATGTAGATAAGATGTTTTTCTGGCTTAGTTTTACACATGTAAGTAGTTTATTGTCCTTATCCCATGGCTTATCCTGTAAGAATACTCATTTATAGTGATAAGAAAGCCTATCAAAAGAGGAAATAAAGATCATTAGCCAAAGTGGAACACTGTGTACCTTAGAATGAAGAGCTGGAACATGTCAAATGAAGAGGGTCAAATCAAATCTATTACAGTATGTAAAACTGTACACTGAGATGGCTCAGAAATTTCATAGTAGACACAGACAATGTAATTTATTTCCTATGGTGCATGAAAGCCCACCATATAGGGCCACTTCTTTCACATTTTCCTTTGTAGTGATACTCAGACTTGTCCAAGAGATAAAAGTATACTTCTCATGAAGAAAAAAAAAATAAAAAAATTGTACCTTTCTTTTCACAAAGCCTAGAACACTATGCATGTCTTCATGTATTTGGGATGCTTAGGAGAATTCACAAACTATACTTTCATTGCAGAACACCTTGTGAACCTCAATTTACATTCTGAATATACTCAACATGAAAATCAAGTCCGAGAAGATCAACAAGAATCTCCTATTATATTCACATTTCTCCAAGATACATGACATTCCAAACAGCAACTTTAAAACAAACCAAAAAACCCCACACCTAAAAACAAACAAAGCAAAACCCCTACCAAACAAAACAAAACGAAAACCACAAATCCTTAAGATTATTATAATAGAGGAGAAGGCAAAGTATTTTCATACACGTTTCATTGCTAGCTGCCAATTGCCATTCCCATAACACCCTTTGCTGACCCATTTGCCTATCATGTGCCAGTAAAAGATCTCTCCCAGCCTCTGTAGCCATGGAAGAGTGAACTTCGGTGTATAAGAACAGCTCCCCCCCTGCTGAAAAACCTGTATCAAACCCAGAATTTTAACTCCACTACCTTTGCCCTTCTTCAGGTAGTAAAGTGACAAACACAAGGGCAGATGTTCTATATTCTCTTCCTCAGTTCTTTTATGTATGCTTTTTGAATGCATAAAACTTCTTTGAAACAGCACAACACTTTTGCCATTCAAAATCTTCAGATAGATTTCTGGTTACTTTCCAGAGCTCTTGACACACCAAGCCAATTAAAAGGCTGACAAGCTGGTTTTTTTCAGTTCCCTTTCTTATCGAATGATATGAACGCTTTCATGCTTTCCTCATTAATGTGTTGAACAGTGAGTGTACACTTCTGCTTTTCTATTTTCTTTTATTTGTGACTGGTGGGGAAAGCAGGAACATTCATAGGCTGTCAGTGGAATACAGCAGTTGCCCATTGTTTCCTCAGATACAGTGTCCAGAGTAGTATAGGATATCTCATATAACCCAACAATAAAAAGTAAGAGGGCTGAAAACAATAGCATCAAGCAAATAAAATATATTCCAATTAAACTGTGACAGTGACTCTTCAAGATCAGCAAACAGCATTATCAATGTAAGATTTTTAAATAAAAAAAAAAGTAACAAAGTTCATAACAGAAAGGTTAGAGCATTTATATAAATTCACTAAAACTACACTTAAGTTAGACTAGGTCCTTACTTTTCAGTGATTCCAATCAGTGCTCCATGTCTTATACTTTTTCAGCTGGGTCAAATGGTCTGATAATACATATTAACTTCCTCTAAGTTATGCTCCTTCACTAATTCAGCAATGCACGTCGAAGGGTAGAATGCCAAGTTCACAGTGATCATTTTTTGATGGTGCTAGCTAATATAGCTACCATCATCAACAGGAGAATGGTGCATAGCCAACTGGAATAGGTATTGTATAAGTAATAAGGTCAGATTTCTGTTTCACTCCTATAAGGAGTTTTAGCTGGGAGCAACAGGAATGCAAGGCTTCAAGGAACTTGCAAGGGTCTGCAAAGAGTCAGATGCAGAAGCTGTAGTACTAGGTGCTGAAAATGAACTAGGCAACCCACTGGGTAAGGTGAAAATCACTCTGCTAAGCATTGTGTAGGGCAATATTATGAAATCAGGACAGAGTACAGCAACCCCCTGAAAACAGGTCAGTGAATTCAAAAGCTTTCTTAATTTCTGTTGGGTAGGGGAAGGGAGAAGGGAGAGGACGTATTTTTTTATCTATATGTGTGTATGTATATATATGCATATATATATATATATATATATAACTCTGGACTCACCGATTTTGGCCAAGCTGGCCACAAGTATCCAGAGTGTAATGACATAGGGGTCCTTGACGTGATCCCATTTGAAAGAGACGATGGCAAAGCTTTGAGGCTGGCTGTCATTTACAGGGCTCTCCGAGCTCCTCTGTCCCAGCGCCGCTGGGAGACACACAATCCCCAGGAGGAACCCCAATCCAGACACCTGCCTCATCTCCAAGCCACACAACAAAATCCTGCTTCCCCTTCCCGGAGAAATCCCGTCTCTTCGGAGGTCCTTGAGGTCCTTGTCCCTTCGCAGAGACGCGACCGGGGACTGCAGGTCCTGCCCCGCCACCGCCTGCACCGCTGGCTCTGCCACTGGGAACGGGCTCGTCACCGAGGGGCCAGGGGCTCTCTGCACAGGCAGATGCTCCGAGCTGGGGTCCTGCTATTTTCCGCACCTGCCTTTATCCGGCAGTTCCTCAGCGGCTGGAGGCGGAGCTTTCCCGCTGCTCCCGAGGAGGCTGCAGCGCGGGAGGTAACGATGCCCTGAACCTTCGGAATGGGCGCTGCAGCTCCGCACCGCAGAGGGGGGTGACGACAGGTTGTGGGCTGTGCTTACCGTCCCAGCTCGGCTTTGTGGCCATGGAGGCTGCAAAGAAGTGGCCTTGAGCTTCTGGCCCCGGGGCCCGAAGCCGGGGCGCTCCCTCGGGCATGGTCGGATCCATGCTGAGATCGGAGCCGGATAAGCAGGAGATCCAAACGTCGCCCGGTGGGCGCTTTGGACGAGCCGTCCGGCTGGTCAGCCTCCCTCCCTCAGACCCACTGCCCTAGCGGGTTGCAGCACAGGAAACTCGCTCCCTTTTATGCTTTTCAGCTTCACATCGCGTTAAGGTCTAGCTCACTGAAGATATCTCAAGTTTCTCAAACTAGCGTTTTCTTTTGTCCACCAGAGAGCACCTCCTCCCTGGGTACTCAGGGAAGTGACACTAGGAGGCAAAGTTTGTCTTTCCACTTAGATATGACAGTTGTTTGCTTAGATATTCTATATTAAAAGCACTATCTGCCTTCTTTCCCTCTTCCTTTTTTACGCTTACAGTGTGAAACCTTTCAGAAGGTTTTCTCCTTCTCCCTGCTGTCCCAGACCATCCATGGTGCATGTTGTAGGCAGGTGGACCCAGGATAATCATCACCCAGCAGTAAAATGGCAGCAAAGTGGCATGTTCCCAGCAAACAGAGCTGAGCACACCTTTCCACACACCACAGCAGTAGAAGGTCCTGTCTTCTTTTGTGTGCTCTGAAGCAATTTAGCTGGCCACATGTGCAGCCAACTGCTTCTGTGACTTCCCATGGAAAACCACTATCTTCTGGTTTTTACTTACATGGCTGCTGCTTTTATGAAAAGTTAAAACATGAACATGAGCAAGCTTTCCTTTAAAATATTTAGAAAATTAACAAACAAATTTTATTGTATCAGTCACCTGGGAGAAAACCTAAGTACTTTTTCAAAGTCCAAATGAGCTGCCCAGATGCTATAAATCAATTAGCTAGTTACCTCAAACAATAAATTTGCATGGAATATAATTGTTATAAAGTGTGTCTATCACATAATAATCTTATTTAGCTAACAAATTCAAGGAGCAAAGTCCTCGAGTTAATGCACTGAAGATTCAGTTATTACCTCAAAGCAAAAGCCTTGCTTTGGACCCTCTCTTCAAACAATGGAACACCTTGGGTTTTTTATTTCCCTTGCTTCTTCATTCTTAAAGGTAAAGAAAATTATGTAAGAATTTTTTAGATTGGGAGTCAATATGAAGGTGGCGTTGGCAACTCTTTTTAGGAAGCATGACAGGCAGCAAAATATTTTCTTTACATTTAGAAACTGTAGTAGACAAAGACTTGAAAAATGTGTCTAACAACATATATATATAACTCTGGACTCACCGATTTTGGCCAAGCTGGCCACAAGTATCCAGAGTGTAATGACATAGGGGTCCTTGACGTGATCCCATTTGAAAGAGACGATGGCAAAGCTTTGAGGCTGGCTGTCATTTACAGGGCTCTCCGAGCTCCTCTGTCCCAGCGCCGCTGGGAGACACACAATCCCCAGGAGGAACCCCAATCCAGACACCTGCCTCATCTCCAAGCCACACAACAAAATCCTGCTTCCCCTTCCCGGAGAAATCCCGTCTCTTCGGAGGTCCTTGAGGTCCTTGTCCCTTCGCAGAGACGCGACCGGGGACTGCAGGTCCTGCCCCGCCACCGCCTGCACCGCTGGCTCTGCCACTGGGAACGGGCTCGTCACCGAGGGGCCAGGGGCTCTCTGCACAGGCAGATGCTCCGAGCTGGGGTCCTGCTATTTTCCGCACCTGCCTTTATCCGGCAGTTCCTCAGCGGCTGGAGGCGGAGCTTTCCCGCTGCTCCCGAGGAGGCTGCAGCGCGGGAGGTAACGATGCCCTGAACCTTCGGAATGGGCGCTGCAGCTCCGCACCGCAGAGGGGGGTGACGACAGGTTGTGGGCTGTGCTTACCGTCCCAGCTCGGCTTTGTGGCCATGGAGGCTGCAAAGAAGTGGCCTTGAGCTTCTGGCCCCGGGGCCCGAAGCCGGGGCGCTCCCTCGGGCATGGTCGGATCCATGCTGAGATCGGAGCCGGATAAGCAGGAGATCCAAACGTCGCCCGGTGGGCGCTTTGGACGAGCCGTCCGGCTGGTCAGCCTCCCTCCCTCAGACCCACTGCCCTAGCGGGTTGCAGCACAGGAAACTCGCTCCCTTTTATGCTTTTCAGCTTCACATCGCGTTAAGGTCTAGCTCACTGAAGATATCGCAAGTTTCTCAAACTAGCGTTTTCTTTTGTCCACCAGAGAGCACCTCCTCCCTGGGTACTCAGGGAAGTGACACTAGGAGGCAAAGTTTGTCTTTCCACTTAGATATGACAGTTGTTTGCTTAGATATTCTATATTAAAAGCACTATCTGCCTTCTTTCCCTCTTCCTTTTTTACGCTTACAGTGTGAAACCTTTCAGAAGGTTTTCTCCTTCTCCCTGCTGTCCCAGACCATCCATGGTGCATGTTGTAGGCAGGTGGACCCAGGATAATCATCACCCAGCAGTAAAATGGCAGCAAAGTGGCATGTTCCCAGCAAACAGAGCTGAGCACACCTTTCCACACACCACAGCAGTAGAAGGTCCTGTCTTCTTTTGTGTGCTCTGAAGCAATTTAGCTGGCCACATGTGCAGCCAACTGCTTCTGTGACTTCCCATGGAAAACCACTATCTTCTGGTTTTTACTTACATGGCTGCTGCTTTTATGAAAAGTTAAAACATGAACATGAGCAAGCTTTCCTTTAAAATATTTAGAAAATTAACAAACAAATTTTATTGTATCAGTCACCTGGGAGAAAACCTAAGTACTTTTTCAAAGTCCAAATGAGCTGCCCAGATGCTATAAATCAATTAGCTAGTTACCTCAAACAATAAATTTGCATGGAATATAATTGTTATAAAGTGTGTCTATCACATAATAATCTTATTTAGCTAACAAATTCAAGGAGCAAAGTCCTCTTGAGTTAATGCACTGAAGATTCAGTTATTACCTCAAAGCAAAAGCCTTGCTTTGGACCCTCTCTTCAAACAATGGAACACCTTGGGTTTTTTATTTCCCTTGCTTCTTCATTCTTAAAGGTAAAGAAAATTATGTAAGAATTTTTTAGATTGGGAGTCAATATGAAGGTGGCGTTGGCAACTCTTTTTAGGAAGCATGACAGGCAGCAAAATATTTTCTTTACATTTAGAAACTGTAGTAGACAAAGACTTGAAAAATGTGTCTAACAACTGAAATCCTATCTATATTATTTCTATCATTTCAGAGAAGGACTGGGGCACCCAAATGCCCTTTAGAATTTGCTCCCAATTTTTAAAAAGGTAATACAAATGGCTCTGGCCAATGCAAGAGTAACATTTTTTTGTATTGCCATTATAGACAGAGAACTACATTTGGAAGTAAGTAGCTGTTGATCTTCTCTGTAACCTGCTGCTGAGCCCTGTGGGTACTAGCACTTCCTAGTTGTTGGTGTCAGTTCTGTTTGCTGATATTAGAACAGTGAACTTCAGTAGAGACAAGATGTCAGAACTGTTTTTATTATCACAACTTAGTCCAAGTACCATCATATCACAATTCAACACTTCAGTTGCAGGTAATAAAAAAGCACCACAACTGCCACAGTGTCCCATATATGTGATTCTTCACAAATCTAGATACACAAAATGATAACTAAGGCAATAAGCCTTATTGAAAATAAGTGAGATCAAGAATGCCTGCAGCTGTTCTAGGAAAATGAGAAAGCCTTCTGCAGTGGATCTTTTCTACAGATAAGCAAAGTCATACAGTTCACTTGGAGGAGCTACAGCCAAGATCATGACTTTGGTTGACCTTAAGTAATGTTCTACTCATGACAATACTGACAACAGCAACCAAGTTACATGACAGTTTTGAGTTTGTTGCAAGAGGTAAACCAGTATTAGAAAGCAAAAATGTTTGAAGTACCATCTTAGCATAAACAAGCTAATATTAATGTGCTCCTCTGTTGAAACTATAATGCCCAACAACCTATCTTAGAGGGACGTTAAGAGAATTTTAGATTTTGTAAAGATTTGGTCTGAAATACTTCAAAAATGCATAATTTTGTCACAAAATCTTCCCAAAATAAGATTTACAAAACTGTTAATCTGCCAACACTATGCTGTTGTTTAACAGTAACAAGTTAATGGTTCAAGGTGTGCCTGTGACATTTGTCCTATTCTCTGACTGCTTATGGAAAGTAGGCTGGATATCAAGTGACTACATATCAGGGAATTCTTGTGCAATTCATTAATATGTTAGAATGACACAGAGAGGACAGAGGAAGGAACTGGAAATCATACATCTGTAGTTATATGTTAAACTAGCAGTCCACTGAATATACTGGGCATCGTGTACATAGTTGTACGAGAATACATTTGCATTTATGTATTAATAGATTCAACTTTCTTGAGGATTCTTTACTGAAGCCCTTATGTAGTTTCCTATGACCTAATTCTGTATCAGTAACAAAAAGCATTGCCTTGTAAACTATGTCTGCAATAAAGATACTATATTACACAACAGTTGATAATTCCTGGCTTGAAAAAGATCACACAAGTAAGATTTCTACTTGCTGTAAAATAATGGCTTCGTGTCCTGAGTGACTTTTTTTCTC